TCCTGAGCCCTGGGACACCCCAGCCCCGGGGTCGCGGGGCCTGTGACTGCCAACGAAACCTGTGTCCGGTGACAGGGCACAGCATCGACGCCCAGAAAAACTGTCCCACTTCTGCACGCCGACAGTGAGCTGTCCGAAAAAGAAATGACGAAAACGACACCATTAACAATTGTATCGAGAAGAAAGAAAGGGCCTGGGAGCACACTGGACCGAGGAGGCACAAGACCCACGCACTGAGGACTACGAAACACCGACGCGCGCCGTGGGAGACGACACCAGCGTGCGGGGAGAGCTCCGTGCTCACGGAGCGGAAGGACCGGCACTGCCCGCACACCCGCTCCACCCAACGCGGCCTGCAGAGCCGAGGCAATCCCCGTCCAAACTCCAAACTCCAGTGGCATTTTTCAAATGGGACAGTAATCCTAAAATTTGTATGGAACCTCTTTCTCTCTCTCTCTTTCTCTCTCACACACACACACACACACACACACGCACGCACAAACCTCCAAGCAGCCAAAGCCGTCTTGACAGAGAGGAACAAAGCTGGAGGCACCACACGTCCTGACTTAGAACTACATTGCACGTTGACAGTAATCAAAACAGTGCGGCTCTGGCAGAAACATAGACGCAGAAACCAAGGGAAAACAATCAAGGGCCCAGAGATAAACCCGCGACTACATATGATCAATTAACTAATGATGAAGGAGCCTCGAATACGAACTGGGGAAGGGCAGTGCCTTCAGTAAACGGTGCTGAGAAACGGACAGTCCCACGCAAAAGCATGGACGCGGGCCTCAACGCCTCCCCACACACCAACCTCAGCTCAAAGTGGGTTAAAGATCTGCACGTGAGGTTGGAAACCGTAAAACTCTTTGAAGAGAATAGAAGCAGCCAGCACCTTGATGTAGGCCTTAGAAGTGATTTTTCGAATTTGACACCAAAAGAAACAGCAAAAAAAGGAAAAAACAGCAAGTGGGACCACGGCAACCTAAAATGCACCTGCGTAGCCAAGGAAACCATCAACGGAGTGAAGAGACAGCCTCCTGGACGGGAGAAGATGTTTGCAAATCATCTATCTACAAGGGGTTAATATCCATTAATATCCAAAATACATAAAAACTCATACAACTCAATAGCAAAAAAGGGGGGAATCTGATTAAAAAATGGGCGGAGGACATAAATAGACGTTTTTCCAAAGAGGACACGCGGACGGCCAACAGGTGCGTGAAAAGATGCTCAACACCCAGCACTTCTCGTCACCAGGGAAACGCATGTCCAAACCATGGCGACATGTCCCTGCACGCCTGTCAGGACGGCCGCCATCAAAGAGACAGGAAACAGTAGGAGCTGGCTGGCGAGGATGTGGAGAAAGGGGACCCTCGTGCACTGCTGGTGGGACCGCATATTGGGGTACCCGCTGGGGAGAACGGTACGGAGGACCCTCGAGAAGTTAAGAATGGAACCACCATATGGCCCGTCTAGTCCGCCTGTGGGAACACGTCTGTAGGAAAATAAAACGCTCCCTCACAAAGCAGCTGCCCCCCACCCCGTGCTGGCTGCAGCGCAGTCCACAGCTGCCAGGGCCGGGCGCCCACCGGTGGGCGCGTGGATAGAAGTGCGGTGTGAGCGCACGAGGGGACGGGACCCGGCCCTGGGAAAGGGTGAGGTCTCACCCTCTGCAGCAACACGGACGGACCTGGGGGGTGGAGGCTACGAGAAACAGGTCAGAGAAAGACAAACACCACGTGCTCTTTCGCAGCGCGAAGCCTGAACACACACACCCACCCCCCACACACACACACGGAAACAAAAAACAACACGCGGAGCTCAACACGCAGAGCTCATGCAAACAGAAAACGTGCTGCCAGCTGCCAGGGCCGGGCAGTGGAGGACGGGAGACGTGGCGGAAGGGGTACACGTTTACCGAAAAATTTTTAAATCAGATGAAATGAAGAGTCTACCTCAACAAACAAGACCAACCAGAACCCGCGTGCCCGGAGGAAGGACCGGGGCGGCAGGACCCCGCTGTCGCAGGGGAGGACGGAGCTGCCCAGCAGACAGCCCCGCTCGCGGCCAGAGGGTCCCCAGCTCAGGTGGGCCCAGGTCCGGGCGCCGCCCTGGGCTCACCTGTGCCCGGCGACACCCCCTGCCCCGCAGGCGGCCCACACCCTCGCTTCCCATCCAGGCCTCGGGGCCTCCCTCGCCTCAGCTCAGCCGCCTCCTTCCTCCGAGCACCTGGCCCGGCGGAGCCCACGCCACTGGCCCCCCCTCACGCCCCCCCGCCCCCTGTGTCGCCCCAGCAGACCACCGGAGGCGCCCGGCTGGGGGACACGGGAGCTTTGGGGCTGGCTCCGCGGGAGGCCAGGGGCGGGCCACCCAGGGTGGCGGCAGCCCAGCCCTGCCCCCAGCCCTGCTGGGGGATTGGAGGGAGCCACCCCGATGTTTTGGGGCCACGGCTCCTCCTCCGAGAAGCTGGCACAGTGGACGGCCCGCCCGACAAGGTCCCCGTGAGGGCTGCGCGGGCTGACGCCCCTCCGACCCCTTCCGGGGACGGACCGGGGGTCCGCCGGAGGCGAGCTGCTGCTGCCCTTGGGGGCCACCTTCTCCTCGTCCCCGCCTGGCGCGGGCCAGGGCGCCGCAGGGGCAGGGGCGTCTCTGCCGTCCCCAGGGAGAGGTCCCCTTGCCGGCAGGAAGGAGGCCGCAGGCCGCCCTCGGGGCGGACTCACCAAACACTCTCACGGGCAGAAAGGGCCGACCTGGGCAGCGCGGGGCTGGCTCCCGTACAGGAAATTCAAGTTCCTCCCTCCCCGGGCCCCGCTCGGGCCGTACTGTGTCGACACGGGCACCACACGCGTGCACGCAGATGTTTCGTGTTCCTGGAAAGACGGGTGCACACGGACACCGCGTTTCTTCCGCCCTGGCCGACACAGCTGCCATCTTCGGCCGGCCCCCCCCGCTCCGGGGCGGCCGCCGCTCGCCGACACGGGGGGCTGGCGCGGTCCAGTCAGGTGCTCAGGCATCCCCGCGTCGCCCCGTCTCCGAGGCTGCGCCCAGCGGCCGTGCCCCCAACCCCGTGCTCACACAGCGACTCTTCCCCCGGCTGCAGGGCGGGGACAGGATGCCGGGCCACGGCGGGCGAGCCGGGGCCGGAGGGGACGGCTGGCAGGCCGCTCGGGGAGATGGACAAGGGGAAGGGTGGGAGGGCCAGCACGCTCATCCGGGGAGGCCGGGGGCGCCAGCCCCATTACGGCGACGAACCTTCGAGTTGAAGGCGCCGTGGCCCCCACTTGTCTTGACTAGAGGTCGCGTGGACGCGGGGTTTGTGCGGAGGGCGGGGGTGGTGGGGGTTCTCACAAACGGCTCCGTGGAGGGGCCACGAACACCGTCTCAGGGACCACAGCCCGAAGGGCCGGGACCCCCACCCACTGTCTGGCCGGCCGACGGGTGCAGGCCCCTGGGAAGACACGGTGGCGGCGGGCAAAGAAAGGTCACAGGCGGCACACGACCCAGGAGCCCCACCCACGCTGGGGGCTGCCCCCGAGGGACTGGGCCGGCACCTCCACCGGACGCGGGCACGGGCGTGACCACGGCAGGTGCGGCTCTGACCGCCCAGCCTGGACGGGACCCAAACCCCCACCGCGGCTGACCGCACGCATGACGCACGCCCGGGGGCGGGTGGTGTCGCAGGACAGCGCGAACCGGCGCAAGGAACACGTGCAGCGAGAGAAGCCAGACGGGAAGGGGCGTGCTCCCGCCGTGGGGTTCCGTGCACACGAGTCCAGCCGGCCGCACGGGGCAGGGGCGCCGTGGGGCAGGGGGAGGGGCGCTGGGAGAGCCGTGTCCCCAGCCGGGGGCCACCCAGCTGGTGTGACGTTTGTCAAGTCCATCACATGGAACATGCGCGTGCCACACACGCTTCCCTACGTGTGCACTTGGGGCAGGCGCCGTCGAGGCCCTCCCAGTCCCCGAGCGGGTCCCGGCCACGGAGACTCAAGCCGTGGCAATCCCAGCGGACCAGATGCCGGCGCGGCCATGAACACCGCCGCGCGCTCCTGCTGCTGCGCTGGCTGCCGGGCGATCTTCACGCACACACACACCCACGCCGGCCTGCCAGTGGGCAGCGCGGCCCAGCCCCCGGCCGTCCGCACACTGGGCCGTCTTGCACACCGGGCATGCAGCGGGGCCCATGGGACCCCGGAAGCAGTCCCTCCACGGCCCGGACGGTCACCACCTCCGCACAGTGGTCAAGCGGCATCACCGTGGCAACGGAGACATGACCCTGTTGTCTGCGTCCTTTTGGGTGTAAACGTTCGTGCGATGAAAACATGCAGAGGGAGGGGTGCTGGGAGGGAAAGATTCCCCCGAACACTTCACTCAGGAGCGGGCCGCCCCCTGTGGGAGAGGACCCGCCTGAGACCCCGCGAGACCAGGGCCCCCAGAGCAGCCCTGACGCACACAGGAGCACAGGCCTGAGCCACCCAAGGGCACCTGCAGGGGTCCCCGAGGCACCAGGAAATCCGCCCTGTCTGTTCTCAAAGGTGCACAAGAAATGGGTCTTTCCTCCACCTCTGTTTTCTGTTCTTTTCTCTTTTAAATTTTTATTTACTTGTTTAGAGATCGGGGATGGGAGGAAGAAAGAGAGGGAGAGAAACATCACCATGTGGTTGCCTCTCACACACCCCCTACTGGGGACCCGGCCCACAACCCAGGCATGTGCCCTGACTGGGATTCAAACTGGCGACCCTTCAGTTCACAGGCTGGTGTTCAATCCACTGAGCCACACCAGCCAGGGCTCCACCCCCATGTTCCACAGGTTTCCTCACACCCCGCCTGCTGGAGTCTGGACTCCGCTCCCAGAGTTCATCGAGTCACAGAGAGCAATCCCCCCCTGCTCCCGCGACACCCCCGGCCGAGCTGTCCCCCGGGGCGGGGGGCACCAGGGGGCTTGCCCGTTGGGGTCGGGCTGGTGGGCAGTGCACGGCGGCGCAGCGGCCTGTTACCTGGGTTGACCTGAGCTTCGGCAGAACTCCAGAGGAGCAGCAGCAGGACCGGCGCCAGGGGCATCCTGGGGAGCGGGGTCATCTCCAGGGCGGCGACCGACCTGCAGCCTGCAGCCCACCAGGGCCGAGGGGAGCCAGAGAGAGAAGGAGAGGACGTGAGGGAGGCGAGGGCACGCCCTGAGACCGCCGCGCGCCCGGTCCCCCGGGTTCCCAGGGCCCGTTTCGGTGCCTGGGGCCGCAGACCACAGCCCCGAGAGCTGGAAGCACCGTCAGCTGTCACGTAGCACAGGGGGTCCCACGCGCCCACGGGACTGGATGGAGCCGGACGGAGCGCGGAGTCCCCGAGGTTGGACTGACCCAACCTGGGCGGCGAGACAGCGAAGCTGACACCTGTGACGTCCGCGTCATTCTGACGTGGATTCCCGCGTCAGACCGAGGGAGACACTCCGTGATCTTAGCGTGTCGGCCTTCCCTGGGCGGCAGGCCGGCCGAGTCCTGCCTCACGAGTCCCCCGAGCGGCCCCCCCGAGTTTTCCTGTCCCCCGGAACGGCAGCGCAGCGGTGGGTCGGAGAGAGGCATCAGTGCAAACTCCCGTTTACTCTACAGAGGTAGGTGCAGGTGGTGACGTGTGCAGGTGTGTGTGTGTGTGTGTGTGTGTGTGCACGGGGTGTGCACACGCCTGTGCCACCTCACTGCGTCAGCCGAGCGGGTCGAAAGCAGTGACACCTCGGCAGTGACGAGCAGACCCAACGTCCAGACCTCGGTGCCCGGCACCAGCGCCAGCGAGAACATGGGGGCTCCTGGGAGAGGTTCTCACCCGGGGGTGGGACACGCAGGAGGGGCCCGGAGACTCCTCCAGGGTCAGACATGGAGGCGGCGCTCACACACACACACACACACACACACACAGTCTCACACACACACACACACCCCTCACAGGGACGGGCCCACGGGACCCTGAACCCAGGAGAGATTCCCAGCGGCCAGGGCCGGGGCAATTTGAGCAAAACTAAATGAATACAGTGGGGCTGGATCATAGCTCAAGGTGTAAAATAAACACCCGCACGTCTGTGTTTGCACAAGGGGCTGGGTCAACCAGTGAGGGTGAAGAGACGAGCTCCCCGTGAGAAGAGTTCCAGACCATTTCCGCAGGTGCTCTCCCCGCCCTCCCCCACCCCGGCGTGGCAGGCCCCCAGCGGCTCTTCCCAGGACAAGGGAAGGGGTGTGAGGTCGCGGCGTCGCCACGCACAGGGCGGCACGGGGCCTCCGTGCGCCGGTCACCACGGCACCAGGGACCCTCCCCACCAACGGGTCCCCACACACGCGCCCAGGGAAGGAGACGTGTGGCAGACCCCGGAGACAGTGGGCCCGGCCGTGGGCGAGCACCAGCCCGCCGCTGTGACGGGCAATGCCCGTGCAGAGGCCTGAGCACCTGGCCGGCGGCCACTCAGCCCTCCCAGCTGCCCGAGGAGGTCCAGCCACTGTCTCAGGCACTGTCCTCGTGGGCTGCGGACCCTGACCCGGGTCGCCGACTTCTGCAGGGACCGTCTCGCTGGGCCCGTGATGGGGCCAGCGGGGAGAGGCCTGCCCTCCTGGAAGAAGTCGGAGGCGGCCGGCAGCCCACACAGCTCTGCCCAAGCCCAGGCAGGCCTTCCCCGCCAGCAGGTGGGCCTGGGGCGCGGGGTGGGCAGGGGCCACCGGGTGACGGGCCTGGGCTATGCTGGAGCAGGGACCGTGGGCACCATGGGCACGGCTGCGCAGCACCTGGGCTGGCCCACCTGGGAGACGAGGCCTTGGTGGGGACGGGGACCTGCAGGCTTTAGGCCCCACGGTCCCCCTCGGGGGCCACTGAACAGGCAACTGTCCTCTCTGCCGAGTCGCTTCCATCTCCGAGTCGAGAGCAGGGAAGAGCCCCCCGGGAGCCTTTCCCGTCGGCAAACAAGCAGGTGGACGCGCTGGGTCTGGCAGGAGACAGCCCCAAGCGCACACACACACACACACACACACACACACGTGTGTGTGCTCACACCCACGGCTATGCCCGATGGACCCGAGCTTTCCCTCCGTTCTCCAGCTCTGCCGAGGTCTCCTCATTCCCAGCTCCTCCAGGGAGTGTCCGTCCGTCCGTCCACCCGCATTAAGGCAGGGCACACCCCATGACCCTGGTGACCCTGCTGCCCTGCTCTGTCCCGCCCTTTCCGTCTGCAGAACCGGGGGGCGTGTCTGGGGTCCGGGAGAGGATGGGACCCCGGGCAAAATCACCGTCATGGACGTAGGTCGCCAGACACACCCTCCGATGGGGCGGGTGGGCCCCAGGCGGGCGGCGCAGGGGGGCATCCAGTCTTGCATCCTCGTGGGACCAGCGGGACGAGCGGTGGGACACCGGCTGTTTCAGATGGCTGCCTGGTTCCCCCCACCCCCGGCCCCCCAGCCCCCAGGCCACGGAGGAGAGAGGCTGCAGCGCCCCCTGCAGGACCCTGGGGCCCATGTCTGGAAGGGAGGCCACCAGGCCCGGCTGTCGGGAGCCCGCGGAGAGAGAGCCGGGGTCACTCTGGGACAGAGGCCGGGCCAGAGAAGGGACCCAGCCGAGCGTGGCGGGCGCCAAGCCCCAGGCCGCAGGAACCGCGGCCTCGCCCCCCCCCGGCCCCCCCACGGGGGCGGGAGAGTCCAGCCAAAGGTCTCTGCGGAAGGAGGCCGGCTGCCCGGCCTGGGGAGCCTCGCAGGCCCCGCTGCAAGCGTCCCTCAGATGGGACGGAGCCGTGGGCGCCTGGAGCGGGGTCGGGCGTCCCCCGGCCACAGGCACGCCCCCAGGGGACCCGCCGCCCCCACGGGAAGCCGCTGTCCGGCTCGTCGCCAGGGCGCCTGGTCCCCCGCCCCCGGAGCCGGTCCCCGGCCTCGTCCCCTCACACGCGAGCCCCCTTTCGGGAGGGTCAAGGGCTTCACGCGCTCGCGGACCAGCAGCCGCGGGCAGCTCACCCCGCAGCAGCAGCGCGCGGGCCGGACGGCGGAGAGGAAAAGACCTGACGTGTGTGCACGCCGGCACACACAGTGCACATGTGCACACACGCTTGCACACGCACTATCGATCAGAAACGCCCCCTACGTCTCCTCCTCCGCCAGCTGAGAGGCGCAGCAGACACGGCCTCTGTCCGGCTGGCGGCGTGACCTGGGCCCTCCCGAGCCCCCTCCCGAGACCCGTCCTCTGCAGAGAGCGTGGAGGAGGGCGCGCCCGGCACGCCCTGCTCCTCCTGGACCTCGAGCGGCCGCGAGCGTTGAGTAAGGGCCTGGACGGCCCCCCGGGGTCCTCGCAGCGTGGAAAACCCCGGGGCGTCCAGTCACAAGCTCCTCGTCCCGTGAGTCACACGGAGTGATTCCAGGCTTGGGAAAGGCCCCCGGTCCCTCCCCCTCGTCCCCTGGATACCCCAGGACAGGCCTCTGGGAACGGAGCTCGTCCCTAGGACGCTGTGGCTTGAGGGGCGAGCTCTTCGGGGCTGACGCCCTCCTAGCAGGCAGGAGGCTCCCCAGGAGCTGGGAGCCTGGATCGGCAAGGTGCCGGCGAGCACCCCCTCCTGGACCCGCGCCTGCAGCGCCCGGGCCTCTCGTCCGCTGAGCCCCCTTCCCGACTCCCACCTGCCCCGGTCTGGCCGCACCCGCCCAGCGAAGCGTCCTGGAGACTGCGCTCAGGCACACGGACACGCAGATAAACCGCAGACACCGGCCTCCAGCCGGTGAGGAGGTTCTGCCCCGGCCCAGACAGGACTCGTGCGGTTAGCCGCAGCTGCCTCTGCGGTGGGTCCGCACGGCACCGGCCCAGACGGTCGGGAGAGACGTGGGCCGCCCCGCAGTTCTGTGCGACGCCACAGCCACAGCCACCCCACAAGCCGGCCAGATCTGGGGGTCGGCTCCGGGGGTCGGCTCCAGGGGTCAGCTCCGGGGGCCACCTCCGGGCTGCGTCGTGCGGCGTGGGCTCAGCTCTCAAGTCACAGCACCCTTGTGCCTCAGTTTCCTCATCTGGAAACGGGACTCTCACGGCAGCCGTGCCCGGCAGGACCGGCGTGGACACCGGGACGGTCGCTCAGAGGCGCGGTTGGCCTCCCGCCGGTGCCGCTGTCACTCTCGCTGGCTATACCCGACGGGGCCCGTCTCATTACACGGGGACTGTGTTCTGACCGCCCCTGGCCCCCGAGGGCAGGGCCAGCGTCACACACTTTAATCTGCCGTGACACTGCCACCCTCGGGCGGCAGCCCAGGCCCTGCCCCCTCGGCTCCCACGGAGGCAGCGCCCGAGCCTGTGCAGCTGCCGGAACCCAGCCCCTGCGGGGACCCGCTTCTGCAGCAAGCGTCCCGCGGGGGCCTGAGCCGGGCCACCTGCTAGGGGCCACCGTGGCCCAGCCGTGAGCTGCTCTGGGCTCACCGGGGAGAATCGGGTCCTGGTGCTCCCTGAAAACTGCCTCTGACTGCACCCCGTCCGAGAGACACCGCTAACCCATACGCCCGGTCCCGGGCTCCCGTGGAGCCCGGCAACAGAGCAGAGGAGGGGCCGCTTCCAAAGGCTGTGGCTCCCCCGTGGGCGGGACGAGGCTCAGACTCCAGAGGCTGCGTGCGTGTGGCCGTCCACCCACCACGTGGGGCGGGGCTCGAGGGGTCCGGTGGGGGCAGCCGCGCCAGGGCCTCAGGTCCAGAAACCGGGGTGCACAGGAAGGGCCGGGCAGCTGCAGGCTGTGGGTGGGAGGAGGGGGCCCCCTCCAAGATAGGGGTTCAGCCCCAGCCCAGAGGGGAGGCTGTCAGCTGCATCTCCGGCCAGGACGGGCGAGGGGCCGGCCCTGCCATCGCCCACCAGAGGGGCCTCCGCCGGCGTCTCTGTCCAAACCCGCCCCGCTGCGGCCGAGGCCCGGGACGCAGGCCAGGGGCTCGGCTTGGCCGGGCGCCGGCGAAACAGGACACCCACCCCAGGGAAGGAGTCACAGCCAAACACACACGCCCTCGGCCACAGTGGGCCAAGCCCAGGGGCCAGAGAGGGGCCGGGGATGGGGGCCAGCTGTTTCCCCTCCGGCCGGCCCTCTGGCGGCTGGGAGCCCGGTTCCCCAGGAAGGAGGGGCTCCGCTCCG